CAGAGAGATCTTGTAGAGAAGTGAAAGTAATCCTATGGTTGGTAGCTGTTAATTTTTTTATCACTTTTTTTTAAATGATAACATCTGTGATTCACCCCACATACACTTGCATCTGGCGTCCTCAAAACTGTGTCAGCTCCACTGGAGACATCTTCCAGACATCCTAGGGCAAGTCTGACTCCTTTTCCTGTCTATATTTTCTTTGGTTCTATTTCTACTTCTTCATATAATGAGTTATTAATTGTAATATTCAGGATGATATTTGATTACTCCGCTGTCATTAATAGAGAGATTAGTGTGTTACAGCAATCTGGAGAGACTTCTTCATTTTTTTTTACCTGTTTATTGTCCCTTTTCAAGCTTTATGCTTAAATGTTTCTAGGATGATCTGGCTAAGTTGGGTCTCTGACCAAGTAAACTTAATTTCCTTCCATAAATTTTTGCTGTTATATGCAATGACAATGCTCATAATGCTGCCTTAACTTCTATAATATCCCCACCTCCACCCACTACATGATCCCCACCTATAAGCATTTGGACTCTACCCTAGGAACCATCCTGGGCTCTGATTAGGGATTCTTTGCCTTATCTTGTCTGGAAAAAAGCCTTCATTCAAATTCCTTCTCAGTTAGAAGTTCCAAGCCTTGCCAATAAGAGTAACCGTCTCCTCGCCCTGCCTAGCTCCTCTTTATTTATTTATACCCCCATTGTTTGGTAGAATACCTAGCATACAGTAAGCTCTTCATAACATCTTCCTTCCTTCTTTCCTTCCTTCCTTCCTTCCTTCCTTCCTTCCTTCCTTCCTTCCTTCCTTCCTTCCTTCCTTCCTTCCTTCCTCCCTCCTCCTCCTCCCTCCCTCCTCCCTCCCTCTCTCTCTCTCTCTCTCTCTCTCTCTCTCTCTCTCTCTCTCTCTCTCTCTCTCTCTCTCTCTGTCATTATTTAATCTATCCTAGCCTATCAACTATCTATCACCACTCTCCCTATCTACTCAGTTAGTTGTGATATGTATAAAATGTGAATACTTGCTTTATCCTTTCCCACATTCACCACACATAGTTTCATTTTGTTTTGTTTTCCAGGTCTGCAGGCACACGTATGGCTACACACGTACAAGTAGAAGGATAGATACCTTGCTAGCTAGTAAGCTATGTTTACATGTATCTATTACTCTCTTCCTCTGCAAGATTTTTTAAAAAATTTTTATTCATTTTATTCTGTACTTCAGAAATAAAAAAAAATCACAGTAGAATACAAAAAAGATGGTTGTGCATGAAACTGAAAATCTGTTCTGTATAACTTCCTATTCCTTTTAAGCATATAACAAAGTTATCATACAATTTTCTTTTCTTTTTTTTTCCCAAATAAGTTTATATGCTAAGAAGCTGATATTGCTTTTAGTTGTCATGTCTGTTTGACAAAGAGGTAAAGTATTTTTTGGCTAAAGTAGTTTCTAGATTCTTTTAGTCTCATAGGGACTCAATTTATTGTTATTTGTTTCCCTTTTTTTTTTAGCACCCAAAGCATATTTAAATATCTCAGGTTGGTGTTATTTAAATCCCATGCCATATTTTTTGCTTGTTTATATTCTTCTAATTTGGAATTGATTTTTATTTTTCCTCTAATTAATAAATTGTCTGTATACAACCTTTGATACTGAAATGACTTCTTTTGGGCAACCAGTAATTTCCAGACTGTTAAGCTAGAACGAATTTCTCTTCTTTTTTCTGTGATGTTATTGTCCGCTCACCAGGTATAGAACTTCTGATGAATGATGAAAACATGTAGGATATCTAGGCATAAGATGTCTTTATGCTCAATCCAATTCAGTTTGACAAACATTTATTAAATAGCCATTATGTGAAGGCATTCTCCAATGTGTATCAGTTATAAAGGGGGTGGGGGTGGGGTAGGGGGGAGTGGGGGTGTGCTGAAGATCTCTGTGTCTGCTATTATGGCTAGCCACTGGGTCTTGGGAGTTCCTACTCCCTGTTGAATCCTGAAGGTCACGAATTAGAGTACCAGTTGGCATACTGACATGTTTGCATGAGATAAAGTGATTGAAATTTACAGACTAGGTTTGTAGCTTTTATCTACCCTTCCTTTACTTCTGTCTATTACAGCAGATATATTAAAATTAGGCAATTGCCTCATCTATGAATTGTCTTTTTTTCTTTTTGGTCTCACTGAAAGACTAGAATGTGGATCAACTACCTGCAAACTTTGACTTCATTCTCTAAACCAAAGGAATCAAACTTATGCCTGAAAGGTCTCATTCGTCACACACACACACACAAAAAAATCCTCCCAGTGCTGCCAGAACAAGATTAAATTGTAATTGGGAAAGGTTTTACAAAGAAATAAACTTCAATAAAACATAGATAATGCGTATTTGTGGTTTTCTGAGTCAATGTGCCACTGGATACATTCTGTATCTCCTATCACACAATCATTTCCCTATACATAGGACACCACTGTGAAATGGGACAAAGCATTTGGGATCTGGTGTTAAAAGACCTGAGCGGAGATTTGGGCTTTCTTACTACCTGTACGACCTTGAGGCCAGTTGCTTCTCTTTGGTGGGACTCAGTTTTTCCTTTAAAGTCAGGGGTTTGGACTACATGGTCTCTGAGGTCCTTTCCAGGTTTAAATTGATAATTCCATGACATCTATGATTCTATAATTCCCTGTTGAGATAAAAGAGCTAGATGGAGGTCTTGAACATATTTATAGATTATTTTTTTTTTATTCATGGTGGATAGTACTGTGGTGGCAGGGGAAGAGAACACTGTGCTATTTTTAGAATAAGCCTCCATTTCCAGGGTAAACGCTAATCAAATCTAATCTCTATGTTTTGCTTTCCTCTACCATAGTTTCTATGCAAGGGCAACCAAAAGACAAACAAGAGCCTGCCTTATCTCACAACCCCATGGTCAATACCAGACACCCACATTAAGAAATTTTTATCCCTTCACCTCAAACAAAGCAAACCGCTATCATTCCAGTGACTGAGCAATTATGAACCCAGATGACTATATCTTTTCTCTATACTCTGAGACCCTGAGGGAGATGGTTTATATTCAGAAGCCACATGATCCCATGGAAACATTTCTGTATTTGCAGCTGATGCTTCTCCCTGCCTTGACTTGTAACACAAAGAATACAGTTTTTCTGGGGGCTTATATTCTCATTGTAACAAAGTAGCTTTTCTATCCAGGGATAGCATGCTGTGCTAAATGAACAGAAAGAGTCTAGCTTAGAAAACTAAGTGAAACTAGAGGGGAAGCTGGTCTTTCCACTGAACACAATTGATAACAGGAAAATCTCGGTGCCCAGAATATTATCCAACTAGGATCACAAAGGAAAATATAGGATTCTGCTTCTTTTCAAAACATAATCCAAATGGTATATTGTTACAGCATAAGAATCCCTGCAAACATTGTTTTCATACAGTTATGTTTCATGTTATTTTATTTTTACCAATAAATTTTACATAGGAAATCCCTAAAAGTTGTTAATGACCAGTTGTGACAATGTAACTGTTTTTGAGGCCAAATGTTTAAGTGCATAATTACGAACATTAACACTTTTTTTTTTTGTGTTTTTTTTTCCTTCCTTTTTTATGGGAGGTAGTGAAGGGAAGTTTTAGAACACCATGAATTTCCTGTCTTCTTTCCACTTTAAGGCTTGAAAATAGCATATGCATAAAGTTGCACAGTTTTTCTAAAAGGGGCTGGAATTGTTTTCCTTCTTCACATTGATTCTTCTCAGTCCTTGTTTACTGCTGCAACAGATTCCTGGAAGCAGAAATGGTGAAAAGCCTAGCAGGCATTGCGGAGCATATAGTACATCTAATTTTGCAACACAAAAAAATCTGAATAATAAAGATAAAATTAAAGGATGTGACCAGTTCATTTACTTAGTGACTACATCTTGTATCAATTTACCTACATTTTACACTGAAATCTTCAGATGTTGTCAGGAGGGCTAACTTTCCAAGTAGAAAGGGTAGGAAGTCATTTTGTAGAATACCAGGAAAACTCTCCATTTTGAAATATGGTACCTGATGATGCCTAAAATTATACTGTTACTGCTTAATTCCTTTATGTTGAAAATTTGCCACTCTGCATGCTTTTCTTTAAAAAAAAATAAGAGCATGCTTACAAAATCCCTAAATAGGTCTCTAAACCTGTTTTATGAAGTACCAGGAAATCTCTTTTTCAAATTATCTTCCCTGTTGATATCTAAAATTCCATTATTGTGATTCATTTCTTTTAGACATGCTTTTCTCTACGATCTTTTTTTTTTTTTAATGGGAGATTAATATGTAAAGCAAAATGAATCCCTCAGCACTTCAGTAGGCATAAATTGATTAGAGGAATTTCTTCCCTGGACAGAGCTTTCCTGTCTGACAGCATAACAATACTAGACTCCTCTTTGGGAGGACAGAATTCAGACAGAGGCCACTGAAAGACTGATTTCATCTTCGTCACATTTTCCCACTCAGGATCAGCCCTACAATTAACTGGTCAAATTCTCCCTTTTGTAGAAAGAAGAAGCATTATGTGTTGGAGAAAACATTGGATTTGGAATCAGAGAACTTGGGTTCAGATCCCACCTCCGCCATTTAATACCTAGGAGACCATGAGCAAGGCCCTTAATCTATATGGGCTTCAATTTCCTTATCTGTAAAAATGCAATGGGATTGTAGGCTAAAATACCTTCCTTCTCTAGTTTCGTAATCCCTATGATCCAATTGTAATGCATAATAAAGTTATGGCCACTTCAGAATTTTCTGGATGAAGTACCAGAGGGGCCAGTAGCTAACTCATAGTGAGTGGTACAATTCGTTGTCAGGAACTATGCAATAATCAGTTTCTTCTCTCTGTCTCTCTCTCTCTCTCTCTCTGTTTCTCTCTCTCTCTCTCTCTCTCTCTCTCTCTCTCTCTCTCTCTCTCTCTCTCTCTCTCTCTCTCTCTTTCTCTCTCCCCTTTGCTTTGTAGTTTCTGCTTTGCGGTGTCTGTGGAATTCTATGTGCCAAAAAAAAGTCTGGACTTGTGGTAAGTTTTTGCATTGTTATTCTGTGTCTCTTCAGGGCCCAGAGTTGACTGGCCTCATCTCCTCTATGGCCTCCATGTGCTGAAGGCTACTTATGTATTTGGGATGTAATGAGGGCAAAGAAGCAAACCCACCCAACCTGTCCTCCCTTCCAGAAAAACAGTGGGGTCACTGGATGGCAGCACAACAGAGAAAGCTTGAATGCGCTCTCTGAATAGCCCTAGAATATCACTTCCAATCCTGGCAGCAGTGCCAACTTCTCCTCTTCCACTTTACAGACTGCAGGCAAGTCACATGCCTCTCCCAGAAATGAGCCAAAGCAATTAGCTGGAGTCCTGGGGAACTTTAACTGCTTAAGTACAGACCTGGACCTAAGGGATCCCAACTGGCTGTGATTGCAAACCCAATTTTGCAAGTGGGCACCCTGCAGCCATCAAAAGTTGTGCTGGTTTTGATTCTTCTTTTTTAGCTCAGCTTGATTTTAACACCCTGCATGACTCTCTTAAGTTCTGAGCCCTGAACACCCCATGTCTAAAGTGCTTACAGCTCTTCATCTGGCCCAGAGTGTCAATGCCAGAGATGGCAGGGGGCCTTCAATTGTAGAAAGTGCTGCTGGATGGACACTCATCTGGGTATACAGGGCTATGTGTGTGTGTCAGTGGCCAACTCCTGCTGTCTTCGGGGATGCTTTACAGAGGCTAGAACATGGAAGGGGGATAACAGGATCTCTGTTATATAGGTTGCTTTGAAAAGACAAAACAAAAACAAAATCAACTTTTGCAAATTAGTGGAGTTAATAATGGCCATAAGCCCCAGAAGTGAGTGTTTGATGTCTCCCAGAACAAGGGAAGTGTTACCATGCACAGACAGCCACAAATCCTGTTGACGGTGGCAGGGGACAGGGTGGAGAGAGAAGATTAGAAGACATGAGCGTAGTTTAGGTCTCTAGTTGATCTCTTGGCAGGTTACTTCTCTCTGAGCAAAGCAGCATGGGGCAGGAAAAAAGAGCTCTGGCATGTCAGTGAGAGGCACTGAGTTCAAATTCTGCCTCTCTTGCTTGCTACTTGTGTAAGTTTGGGCAAGTGACTTTACCTCGACGTGCCCCACTTTCCTCCTCTGTAAAATGAAAGGCTTGGACTACGGTGTATCTGAAGCCCTATCCAGCTCTAGGTCTGTGCACCACAGTACTGCAAGTATGCTGCCACCCCACCAGACACTTGGAGTGGATAAAAGGGGAACATTAGCAAAGATTTAAAAGGCCCTCATAGAAATGTGTCCTTGGAGGGATAAGAGTTTAAGCTTGGGAACTTGCCATTCTCCATCTTCACACAATGTTCTCACCATTGCTCCTTCTGTCTGCCAGGGCCCTGACTCCGTAGAGTTAGGCTTTCTCTCTAGCTGGGATGGCAAAGTCAAAAGGAGATGATCTTCTTCTTTCTGACCCCATCTGTCAAGAAAAACATCAGATCACAGCCTTTGCCCTATGCCCTGGCCCTTGCCTTCAGTAGTATTTAGAAGCATCTTTCCATGGATTATATTGCTGTCTTCTCTTGTTCTATATGCAGGAAGATTCATAAAAATTATTGTAACTTATGTGCCAACCTCTATTGCAGACGATAAACTAGTAGAGAAATTCTTAGAAGCACTGAATAAGATCCTTCATGTCCATTATGCCATAGTAGAACAGGCACTAAATTTGGAGATAGGAAGACAGGTTTAAGTCTCCTGAACCCTCACAAACACTTGATAGCTATTTCCTTACCTATAAACAGGATTTGCTAATGGTCTTTAATCCCCTTCCAATTCTAAATCTATGATTTTATCACACTCATAGGTTGCACCAGAGATTCCTTTTCCTACCTTGGGTCTTCTGTCTTACCTGGATATCTTGGTGGATGGTGAAAAGGCTTAATAATAACTCAATGATAACTGAGTGTCCTCTATGTATGATTCTCCACTGGGTCACTTGCTTTGTTTAGAGAAAGATCATTTCTTTCAATGAAGTCCCTATTTCATTAGTCATGAAGGAACTTCTTGAACCAATATTATCATGATTATCCATTGGATTTAAAATATATGAGATATCAGTGATATCCTGGAAATCTTGGTCAAATACATTACAAATTTTTCAGATCTATACTGACAACAATACAAACTCTGTACTCAATAGGGTAGGATACTCTGATGAACAGTAAACTCTCTTAAAGCCTGAAAGACTTGGCTATGTGACCCTGGAAAGTAACTAAACCTCTCAGTACTCAGAGAAAATGATAAGCTGCATTTATAATGAGTTTACTCACCTGTGAGTTCCCAAACCCTACCGATGTTGTTATTGGTGTTTTCAGTCACATCTGACTTGTCTGTGACCTCATTTGGGGTTTTCTTGTCTTTTTTTTTTCAGGCAATTGGGTTTAAGCAATTTGGCCAGGGTCATACAGCTAGTAAGTGTCAAGTGTATGGTCTGAGTCCAGATTTGAACTCAGGTCCTCCTGACTTCAGGGCTGGTACATTTGGGGTTTTCTTGACAAGGATACCAGAGTAGTAGTTTGCCATTTCCTTCTCTAGCTCATTTCACAAATGAAGCAAACATGATTAAGTGCCTTGCCCATGATCATACAGCTAGTATGTGAAGCTAGATTTGAACTCACAAAGATGAGTTTTGCTGAATCCAGGCCTGCCACTACACCACCTAGCTGTTCCAATTTCTGTCATAAGGTATATCGTTTGTGAGGACTACAACACATTTAGCCATGACATTACAGAATCTTAGAGTCAAATGTGATCCTTGAAGTATTCTTGTCCAGCATCCCACCTATAAAAAAGAGCCCCTACATAACTTCTTGGATTTATTGTTGCTGTCACATTCTTAAAATGATGGTGAACTTTCTATTTCCTTCGAACAGGATCAAAAAGTGTCTTTTCCTCACCACCAGCCCTCTGTCCAAGTCGACATCAATTCAAGTTTGAACACGGGAGGGCTACAATCTATCAATCAGCTATCAACTCACATAATAATATTATCACCCAGATAGCATTTATCAGTCCTGATCACATGGCCATCAAGACAGAATTGTGGGAAATCGCCTTGCAATCCTTTGTCTCTTCAGTACCTAGGAGAGTGCTCCTTCCAAAGTAGGCTTTTTAAAATGTCCTGATGATGAACTTATTGATTGCTGAAACCAAGATGCTCAGTGTTTTCAACGTTTCCTTGATCCACAGAGGACTCTATCTAATAAAAGAAATGAGATTTGTTTCTTAGAGAGCCCAAGCTCACTCTTAGTAATTCCTGTTTTATTTTCCAAGTGTTCACAAACTGTTCTGAATTCACAGGTTAATCTATTATTTCTGGGACCTATGCCCTCCCTGCTTTGTGAAAACTGAGGCTCCATTTGTCCATCCCCAGATTTAGGCTTTTAGTCTACTTTTACCAACTCCCTTCAAATCACTCCCTTCACTCACTCTCTGTTCCAGTTAAACTGCCTTACTCACTATTCCCTAAACTTTGTATCCCCTTTCCCCTGCCCCTACTCTTCCCCATGCCTTTCACAAGCTTTTTCTCATGCTTGCAAATCATTCCCATCTCATCTTCCCCTTTTAGAACCCTTAACTTTCTCTAAGATGCACCCTCTTGAGATTAGGTGATTTCTGACTTTTCTGTGTAAATGTAGTTTCCCCATAGTTGAGTATAAACGCCTGATGGAAAGCACAATTCTGTGGTTTGTCTTTACATTCTCAAGACCTAACCCAGTGCCATAACAGAGTAGAAGCCTGGTAAAAGTTAGTTGAATTTAACCAAATTGGACTTTTACTAGCTATGTATGTGTTTAAACATAGAAACATGTATGATTGTGTTACATGTATACTTACATGTGTGTATATATACATATATAAAAGAATTGACAAAAATCATTTCATGATGATGTAGATTTACTGAGTATTTAATAGAAAATCAGTCAAAATTTAAACATTTATTAATATCCTGTGAATGTACCCAGAGCAGACATCCTCCTTTAGGAGATATCTCAAGAATGTGGTCTCATACTGTGTAAAAGATGTTTCATATTCAATATGGAGACACAGTAACTCCTCCTTGGCCACTCTGCTTTTCTATGTGCCATCTTTGCCTGTTAAAACATAAGCTCCTGGAGGGCAGGGACTATCTTTGTATCCCCAGCACGCAGCACAGTGTTTGGCATGTGGCAAAAGTGCTTAAGGAATGCACTTTCATTCATTCAATCATTCAGTCAACAAACATTTATGAAGTATCTACTAAGTGCCAGGCACTGAACGAAGCACTTGGGACACAAAGAAAGGGAAAACATAGCGCCTGCTGTCAAGGGGCTCAGAACCCCATGCATGCATGCATTCATTCATTCATTCATTCATTCATTCATTCATTCTACTTCCCATCACCTCTTCTCTGACAACATCCATCCTCAGACCCTATCCAGGCTTACTGGATGAAAACAACCTAACCCAGTGTGTCCCCCTCCCTTGATTTCCCTTTGTCACCCCCCGCTGTAACTTTCAAGCCCACCCAGACTCCATGGGGCTATGGGGCAGGAGAAGTTACCTGACTGCTCATACAACTTGGATAAGCCAAGAGTCTCCAACCACAAGCCTGGTAGTGGGATGGAGGATGGCTAAGCCTTACCATCTGCAGTCCCCCCTGCTGCCAACCTGGTAGGCACTGACTCTGATCTGCTGATGCTCCCTGTGGACTTCTGGGCCTCGCCATCTGCCCTGAGACAAAACGTGCTTGTGTGAACTATGTCCCTCAATTAGAGTGTGATCTCCTTGAGGACACAGACTGCCTTGCTTTTTTCTACTCGTATCCCTGGTTTTAAGCACTGGCCTTAATGAATACCTATTTTCAGGAACTCATTTGCTATATGCCCTCTGAGTCAGGTTCTTCTCCCCACATTAATTCCAACACCCCATCTCTTATTTCTCAATAGATGATCCTATTTTCGGCCTGCTGCATCTGTGGGCTAATTGGCGGCATCCTGAATTTCCAGTTCCTCCGAGCAGTCACCAAGAAGACATCCTCACTCTACCCACTACGCCTGGCCTCCATGTCTCTTGCCTGCATTGGGATTGGGGGCTGTACCCTTTCTTCTTGGCTTACTTGCCGTCTGGCCAGCTACGAACAAAGACGCATGTTCTCTGAGCGAGAACACTCTTTGCACCATTCCCACGAAATGGCAGAAAAAGTGAGTTCTGGGCCGGGCCCCATCACTGCCCATTTGTGTTGAAGGGTGCACTCTGCGGCTGGGGGAACCTGCTGCCACTTTTAGATGAGAAAATGTCTGGGAGACCCATGGCGGCCATCATCCTCTAAAGGCTTAGTCCTGCTGGATTGGTGAGAGCTATTTCTCAGTATTATATCTTTATACTTCATGGTTTTACCCATTTCTGCATAATTCTCTGGCATTTCTGTCTATTCAGAGACACAGTCCTAAAAACAGCACTTCCCAAATAATGGAATGCCTTATTAATATGAATGCTCATGTGTTCATACTGGAGGAAGCACAGTCCCTGGGATATCCTGTGATCACTAACACCAGTTCAGGGAAGACAATGAATTCCCTTCTCCTTCTACCCCAACTTTTCAGCTGGAGGATTTCAATGATATAAATCACTTCTACAAATGTAAAAATAGTTAGGAGGGGAAAAAGACGATTTGTCGGCCCAGATATTGAGATCAACACAGAGGACCTAGATTAAAATCCTAGTTCACCTACTAGGTGAATCCATCTAGGTGATACAGTAGGTAGAGTGTTGCACCTTGAGTTAGGAAGACCTCAGTTCAGATCTGGTGATCAGGGCAAATCATGTTACACCTACTAGCCTCATTCTCCTAGTCTGAACAATAGGAATAGTAATATCACCTGCCTCCCAGGTTATCTTGAAGATAAAATGAATTAATATTTGTAAAGTCCTTTGCAGATGTTGAAGTGCTATGAAAATACCAGCAATTAGTAAGAGTAGTGGGTGATGGTGCAGGACACGTTGCTTCCCTGGTCTGCCATTTCCTCATCAAAATGAAGGTGTTGGCCTCCCAAGATCTCCCTCAGTTCTCAATCATCTCTTGGTCCTGTGCAATATTTTCTTTGCTCCTCACCTTATCGGTGACCCACTTCTGGTGTCTTTCTTGAAAGTTAAATAATTTGACAGCCTCATTTCAGGAAATCCCCTTTAGTGGGAAACCTTAATAATCCTATGTAACAGCAGAGCAAGCCATTTTCTGTATTTCTATTGGATATGGCCCATATTGCTTTAGTCTGCTCTCGCTACTGAAATGCTTGAGAAAAGGAACAATGCCTTTAACAAAAGGACATCTAGAAAAATAATTCTCCCATCATCATTTGCATTGCATCATGAAGAGAAAAATGCCAAGAGTTAGGGCAGAAGGAAGAATAACCTGCTCCTTTAGCATCTTAATTTGTCATGTCAGAGAGGAAATGTGGGCTGGAAACAGTGCCTTTTATTACTGAAGCTTTATATGAGTTTTCAGTTTTGGTGCAACTTTGAGAGGAAAATTAAGGGGAGATTGCTAATGAGTCCAAATAAAAGCAATTTCAGACCTATTGACGAGTCCTCCAAAAAGAAATTCATCTTTGACTTAATGGGCTTTCAAATGGACAGAGGTGAACCAGGAGAAGCAGTTATCCATGATCTCCTAACAAATATTGGTAATGTCTTGCCCTACAGCAATTTCCTCATTCATTGTGGATACTGGCTGTTTTGTGCTTTACATACATACATACATACATATGTGTGTGTATATATATATATATACACACATTTGTACATAATTTATACTAGCATGATTTAGGCATGTTTTACACGTGTATGTCTGTGCGATATTTACCATATGATTATTATATTTATATTAGAGATTGAGGGGTATTGAAATAACCGACTTGCCCAGCTGCCCGGTGGTGCCCCCGACACCAGAGTTACCTACAAGGTACGCTGAATTCTAGGGAGTTACCATGTCGTTATGTCACATCAGGAAGTACTTGCCTTTCAGAGGGCATCATGGAGACAGCCAATCAGCATGGGCTGATGCTGTGATATCACTTCCACAGGGGCCACTTCCGGGACTACCACTTCCAGGAAGTGACCTCCTTCTCCATGACACACTCTTGCTGCTTAAAAGTTGGTTGAATATTTTCAATATTCAGCCTTTCTGGAGGCATCCAAGCACATTTCTGCTTGGATGAGTCATGCCTTTTCTAACTTTTACTGCATCACATCTCTAGTTCAGAACCATCATGCCTAGGCTGTCCTTTTGATGTTAGTATAACCTGTGTCAGGATATGAAAGAACCGTCTATATCTTTCTTGACAAGATTTCATTAACAGAGTTTGATGCAAATACAGTGAAAACTCTCTTAAGGTGCTTCCACTTTTAAAGTTTTCCTATGTGATATATTTTTAAAGCAAATCTCATGTGAAGGATGGAGAAAAATAGAGTACCCATTTCTAATTTCACTAGCATGATTAAAACTATGTACAATTTTATTTTTACACATATACACATGTATATTTTTTAGTTTATTTGGCAAAAAATGCATATTTACAAATAGGTAGCTTGTCTCTGACAAAATGGGAATAAATACTCTTGCCTCTTGTAGATATGCCTGCCTAAAAAAAAAAATCCAAATGAAAAGTGAAGCCCATGTCCTTGTCAGTAGTTTTACTAGGTCTGAGTGAAGGTGATATAAGTGAAAGAAAAAAAAATATTTCCTTTTTAAAGCTTTCTGAAATAATTTTAACCATTAATTTTTTTAAAAAGCATATTTTATTGGTTGATATGGATATTATTACTTTATTCTTTATATATATATATATATATATTGATCGATTGATTGATTGATTGATTGATTGATTGATTAAAAAGCTGATGTTCAAAAGAATGAGAGGATAAGGAAGCCTAGAGTCATTGCTTCTGAAAAGTGATTGTTTTGAACATTTTGTTTGATTTGAAAAAGAGTACAAAGGAGGGAGAATCATTTCTGAAGAGGCTGAGGTGAACTCGGTGGTGGAGAAGAGTGATTGGAAGGTGACTCGTCCCAAGTTCAGGTTTACAAATGGCAACATTATCTGACAAAGTTCCAGACACCATTCAGTCATTTCCAGTGACCACTCAGTACATTTTCCTAACTTGTGCCTTACCTGTTTTTCCTGGAAAACTCAAATCCAGCTTTTGTAGTAGGCTAGAATTTTAGGAATATGGTGCAGGAACTCGTCCCTAAACATTTCCTCACTTCAAGTTCTTTGACCTCTGTGGGCTTCATTTTCTTCATTTGTACAATGAGATATTTGGACTAATGACTCCCCCCCCCCCTTCCCTGCCCCAGCTTTAGAGCCCAATGAGCCTATAATCCTCTTCTAGGGCTGACAGTTTCAAGAAATCATTTTCTTTTACTCTTGAAGATTTTCTACTCTTTAAGAGCATCTGTAAAAATGGCCCTTTTAAAGGTAACTTATCAGACCATTAATTCAATTGGAATGAGAGGAAAATTTGTTGATAATTACTTGGAAACAGGAGAGAAGATCTGGACTTACTGGTGGAATGTTGTGGATATGTCAGAGAAGGAAGAGGGGTCCAGAAATGTGAGGTAGAAGAATATGAAAAGATTAGACACTTTGTCACCATTTCTGAAAAGAAAACAATCCTTTCAAAATTAGCATGCATGTTGGGGGGTCAGGGAGCCATAAAACCTCATCTCCTTATCCCTCCATCTTGTTCACCACTGATTTCCTCTAAATAGAAAAAAAATCCATTTTTTCAGAAAGTTTGAATAAAAAAATAAACATTACAAAGCAACCTCCCCTCGGATGCCACTCCCTCCCCATCTCTTTTCAATTCGCCTTTATACAAACTCTATAAAAATCATAGTATGCAACCATAAAGATTGATCTTGCATTGGTATCTTTCTTTTCTGTCTTTTTGTGAAAGGACCTGTACAGGAGAAGAAAGGGAATGTGTGTGTGTGTGTGTGTGTGTGTGTGAATTTGGGCTACACTAATATGAGCATTTGTGGAGAGTGCCTTCATGTGCCAATAGGCATTTGTCTGAAAATAGACATGAAATATGTTGAACAGGATGCAAATATGTGTAGGCAGGTGAACAAGGCTTTTTTTTTTCTGTCCCTGCTATGACCCATGGTCATGTTCAGTGGGGCTCATATAACTCAAATTAGCTTGTTTCTTGTAAGTTCTAGATAACCCTTTTTGGGTCATCCAATGGGTCTCTATTTTCATTTCCTTCCCAAAGGACATTTCCCTGTTCAGGTGTTCTTAGTAAATGGTCTTTTCAAAAGCAATTTAGGAGAGTTTTTACTGTATTCTAGTGTTATGAGAAAAAAGTGTTTCCCTTCAAGACCGTACTCAACCACCACCCCATACTGTTAGTAGCCCTTTGCTTCTCCTACATAGCCAATGGTGCAATGGTCATCTCCACATTCTAGGCCTCACTTTCCTCACCTATAAAATGTTGGACTGCCTGATTGCAAAGTTGCCTTTTAAAATATTTCATCAAAAGTATTCAGTGCCTTCAGGGAGTAAGGCACTTCACTAGGCTCCAAAGCCCACACCAGCAGACAGCTGCCACCCTAACGGAGATTCCATTCTCCCGTTGTCGGGGGTCTTTGCTATTTCCCAGTGGTAAAATTGCCATCCCCACCGGCACTTGATACCACCTCTGTTGACAATCTCAGAAGAAAAGCCCGAGATGTGAATACATCCAGGTACTTGGGCCCTTTTTACTTTGTATTTGGATCTTTCCAAATCATGATGAGGTAGAGGGCAGGAAAGAAAGGTTTCACCTTCCTGGATTGTCATGTGACTAGAGTACTTGGCTCTCTTTCAGTGCTAGTCTAGCACATCTGATGAATTCTAAATCACCATGTAGTATCATCTAAGTGCCACCCTCCCCCTTAAAAAAAAAGGGGGATTGGTCAATTTTTCAAAGTTCTCTGAAATCTGACATACAAAACCATTAATTAATTTCCTTCCTTGCAAATGCATTTTGATTAATTCATTTTCTTTCTCTAACAGGAAATGACAGACAATATGAGCAATGGAGGGCCACAACTAATATTTAATGGAAGAGTATAACACATTTTTTAAAAATTAAAACTTTTTCTTCTGGATTTCCATCTGAAAACGATATGCCAAAGGATTCATACAATATGGAAACATTGTTGGCTTTTACTGCCAGGTTTCTGGTGTTATGGAACTTGCTGGCACAATTCCCTCTTGGATTTTCACTAACATTTTTCTTCCTGGATTTGGCCACATGTATCTCTCCATTTCTTGCTGTTGGGCTAAGAACTTTCCAGGAGTGTTCTGGGAAGGGCTTTCTGATCAGCTTTTCAAACCACATCCACGAAGACTTTTCAGAAGACGAAATAAGTGAAATAAAAATTGGGTTCCCATATGGCCTAAACCACCCTTTGACTAGCATGTGAAAAAGACAGGGGAGAAAGAAAGGTGGGTCTTGCCTATGATTAGCCTCCATGTGCAAAAGAAATGAATGCCCATTGCCTGAGGATGTCTCTGTACTGAACACTGGGCAGCTGCAAGAACACCAGGACTCAGAGTCTCAGCCATGCCTTGTAAAAAACAAACAAACAAATGAACAAACAAACCCTGTAAATATTTTCAATTTGTGGATTCAGCATATTTCATATTTTATTCAGAAAATAAGATAAATAAAATGAACCCCAAATTAGAGGTAAAGTGATTTTTTTTCTTTTCAGAAAGAATACCAGTCAGTACGATAGCTTTATGTGGTTTGCACAAAAATTGGAGAGGTTGCCAAAGGATTATGATTTTCCAAAACCTATGTTCTCTTTCACCAGACTGTGCAGAAGAGTCTGTAGGTCCATAAACAACAACTCTGGCTACAGAGAAGTATGTGTACATGTATCCTGTAAATATAGAAAATATATATAGCATATATTTATAACATACATGTATGTAAATAGAATGGTGAAAAATGGGGAAGATTTGAGCTATAGATAAGACCTTATTCCCACAATTGTGGGGGGATTTCTTCCTATACCTTTTTCAGAGTCCACACATCATTGAATTAATTTTGATGTGTCCTTTATTTCTTCTTGGACCCATCTGGTAGATGTAAATATTGCTGTATTTGGTGCTGGGTACTTTGGAGGAGATTGTTGAACAAGATGGTGAAGCAAAAAGGAAAATTGTAGGTGAAGTGGACCTTCTGAGTATGGTTTATGAAACACAGCTTGTTATATCATGGTATTATTTCATATGAACGTCACCCATATGTGAGGTAGGCACCCGTATGTTTATTTATATGGCTTTTCATGATCTAAGTCATTATAAATCCCTTCTAGCCAAACTGAGGCAGGTGGATGATAGATGATTCAGTATCCAAATAACGAAATGCTTAACTAGCAGTTAGACACTCTGTGACCCCAAAAGAAACCTCAGCTAGAAGAAAATGAGAGAGAAAGTGTATGAAAACTATTCATGCCTGAATCTTTAAATAGCCCCTGGTAACTATGAGTAGAGATAGGAAATGACCATGCTCTTGGGAAATGCAGGTATCACCTTCATATCATCCTCACCTTTGTTTGACTTCACATTGTATAAAGTTCTTCCTCACATGATTTCATGTGATCCTCACCACAACTTTAGGAAGCAGGTAAAACAGGTATTGTTTTCCCCATGTAAAGACAACAAAATTAATATCTAGAGAAACTGAGTGACTTCCTCTAGGTCTCACAGCTTGTAAGTGAATGCAGCAGGATTCAAATCTGGGTCTTCTAGAGGGTTCTTCCCATGTGCTTTCAATCATGCCATTTATGCCTCCCTTCTGTTTGATGGACATAGAACCTCTGGCAACAACTAGGGAAATTCAGTTTTGTTTAATGAAATTTCCCTGAACTGGATACTGAATTCAAGGTCCAAGGGTAAGCTAGAGACCACTTTTAAAAAAATTGAGAAAGAAATGACTTCTATTACAGTTATTATGTCATTCATCATTTCTATTTTAGAACTTTGCTATGAACTTTATGAAGAAAAAATGTCAAGAATTTCAGCAAATGAAAAACTCAAATTCTGTTGCTAAGTTCTAAACTGCTTAATAGTCATCCCCTTCCCAATCCTATGGAAACCAACGAATCTAAAGGTTGAGTGAACACCTCTACATTGTCTCTCTGGATAAAAACATTGGCTCGTAGCCTGTTCAGGGCTATTGTTTTTTTTTTTTTTTTCTTGCTAAAAGCCTTGCCAGCTTTTCCATATCTCTACATTGTCAAGCCAATTGATTTCAGAAGTCACCCACTCATCCCATGAAAAATATTGAACAAATGATGGCATATGAGAGATGTGCATGTGCCCATCTGGCCTCTATCCCTGTAAATCCTAGATGTCCACGGGCATTCTGTTGTAGTCCTGCTCTCTAAAATTCTATTACTTGGAAGATTAGAGGATTTATTTCTTTTTCTTTTTTTTTAATAACAGAACAAACACCAAATGTAACTTAATATGGTGTTTTTCTTTCCTTTATAGCCTACTTTGCACAATATAGAGTTGCAATGTATTAGGCCCAGAGCTGTTTTCTGGGAAAGATATTTATGCCCCCTTGAAAACTTTTACAAAATCCAAAGTGGAAAAAAACAACACTTTTTTTTTAAAGTAGCCTGTGGATAGACTATCGTTACTTTTTTTTAAAGATGTCACAAGAGACTCTAACAACCAATATAATTAAGAAAATGAACCAACAGCATATGCTAGATGACATACCCATATATCTCTTTTCAAATGCAATTATTGTAAGTTAAAAAAAAACTTTCAGGGCTGAAATCACATTGAGGTTTAAATGGAATTTTTTCTGATCTCATTCCAGAGAAGGGAAAAAGCTTGGGAAAGCATCACAAATCCAAGCCTGTGTGCTTGGAAATTGAATTTTCATCACACATTGAATTAAGAGCTATAATTTTATAAGTGACTTCATTCAAGAGTTGGCATGAGCCAGTGCCCTCCAGGGGGACTGTAAAGGGAGACCTAACGCCCAACTGTCAGGGAGGCTGATGTGGTACTGAGATGGAGAGTCCAGCCATGCCACAGCGGGGCACATCCTGCCAGAAGCCTCAGAGGGAGAAGGGGTAGTCTGCCTGGAAAATGGAGAAATCAATTGGGCTGTGGTCACCAAGGGAACATTTGACAGAAGAGTTGTTCCTGTGACTGTGCTGATGTGTGTCTCTTTAATAAAACGAGGAGTGCTTGTGGAAGCCCTGTCTGCTGTGGATTTCTTTCCATTGGGACAGTTCATAGGCTTTAGGCAATTAAAAGAAAAGTTTGCTACTGAATTTAGAAAAACCAACTTGCCCCGTGTGCAAAGACAGTAGCTGCAGATATATGAGTGAGTACACATACACATTGGAATCACACATTTTCTGCCTGTTCCAGAGACAACCATTGTCTGAGTCTTCAACTTACTGGCTATTATTTCAAGCCCCATTATATTTGAGCCACCATTATATGGGGTCCCATTATTTACTGCCCTGATTTTTTTTTCTGTTTCAGTAAACAGTAGTCACTAATTAAGAGATTTACTGATAACAGGACTGTCACCGAAACAAAACAAAACAAAATAGAATAGATAACAAGTTGGGATAGGTTAATCATCTAATCCCTTTCAGGAGACCTTGAGCAGAATAGGCAAAGCATCCACTCCCAACATTCAATTTCCCTGAAAGTTAGAAATACCTATTGACCCAGTGGAGACTTGATTTTATTCCAGATGTAATAGGGAAAAGAAGTTTGGAAGCTGAGAACTTTGCACTAAATGCAATGATGAACTGCTTACTGAGGGTTGGGATATGTCAAATAAAAGGATGGCTGTGATTTCAGTCCCAGAGCACAAGGGACAAGAGGATTGTGCCGTTTCCCATAGGATTCTAGAGCAGAATCAAGTTTCAGAACTGAACCTTTCTGACACTGCACTTGCCAATTAGCAACTGGTAGGAGGGGCAGGAGTCAAAAATGATATTGTGCAAGGGATTTGAACTGTATCCTGTTCTTAGCATGGACATTGCCAGGTGTAAGAGTTCTCTCTACCAACACAAATAGTGAACCTTCCATGATTTAGGAAATAAAACCAAGAGAGTTGTACAGGGCTTCCGAAAGTTAAGTAAGTTGCTGGGGGTCAAATGACTAGTAAGTATCAAAGACTTTCAAATCCCTCTTGGTCTTCCCAACTCCAGGTTCAGTATGTTGTTTATCCACTGTGCAATATTGCCTCTATCCAGGGAGGCAGTCACATTAATTAGGAATCAGCTTCCAAATGCCTCCAGCACAAATTGGTTCTAAGTAATCTGTGGTTAAGTGTTCACCAGGAAAGGATATGAAGGCCTTCCTCTCCCCCAACTCAACATGCTGTCCACCATGTCGTACTGCTTTCTTGTCCTACACTTGGAATCTGTAATATTAAATCTTTCATTTCTTAAAGTCTTTGTCCTTCACAAGAGATGCCATTAGTCCAATGAATTATTCAACAATTTAAAAAAAAAAAGAATTAAGGAGTTTCTTAAAACTCTACTAGTTCATCTAAACCATTTGCTAGCTGGATGACTACAGCCATGTCTTAATCCAACAGCCCAATGGCCTCCTGATAGAGTCTTGTCCCAACTGCAGATAGCCATCCCAAAGAGCACCCACATTTCTCACTTGATGATGAAGAAACTGATTAGCAAATGCTCCATCAGATCTGAACAGCACCTTGATTAGATCCCACGCAAATCTGGGGTGCCTTTATGTGACACGAAGCTTTCATATTTTGTCTTCACCTCTGACTTCTTATTCGCTTTAGCTTGAAGCTTCCATTATTCCAGACAAAGTGTTCTATTCTTTCTTCTTTCTCTTGAACTTCTAGTTTTTCTACTTTACGCGTACTACACTTTTTAAAATGATGGTATCTGCACCATTCATCTTTTGTCAAATGCCTTATCCACTTGATTATCATATATACCATTTCAGGGGCTTACTCGTAGCCTGGGAGCGTAAATTAAATCCCATTTTGAGTTTCATTCTCAAGTTTTTTTCATTATCATAATAGCACTTTCCCATTTACCTGGTGATTTCATCACAAAATCTCTGTGAATGAGTGAGTGAAGGAGTACAAGAATTATTCCCATTTTGCAGATGGATAAGTACCTTGGCTGGGTGGATAGAGATCAGGTTTGGAGACAGAACACTCAAGTTCACATTTCACCTTGGGCACATCCCCAGTGGGCCCAATGTGGCCCTG